TCTTATTAGCAAACTCAAGTTTAAAAAGTCTAGAGTCGAGGCTGGGAATGGTGGCTCACGCCTGTAATCCCAGCACTTTGGGAGGCCAAGGCGGGTGAAACACCTGAGGTCAGGCATTCGAGACCAGCCTGGCCAACTTGGTTAAACCCCATCTCTACTGAAAATATAAAAATTAGTGGGGCGTGGTGATGACCACCTGTAATCCAAGCTACTCAGGAGACTGAGGCAGGAGAATTGCTTGAACCCGGGAGGTGGAGGTTACAGTGAGCCAAGATTGTGCCACTGCACTGCAGCCTGGGTGACAGAGTGAGATTCTGTCTTAAAAAAAAAAACAAAAAAAAAACTAGAGACAAGTTTGGGTCTGGTTCACATGCTCATCCTTGGACCTACCAGGGCGATTGTGGGTATCAGGCACTCTGACTCAGCCAAGGTTATATGCCCATGTCTCTGTGTGGAGTGGGTGAAGGAAGAGGAAGGAAATGATGTGCAGTTTGATATTAAAAGTTGGGGGAGGTTTTTGGGGAAATAGCAATAACCAAGGAAAGGGAACCTGAACATTTATGATATCCTGTAGTCAATACCCCCTTAATTTATTTTTTGCATAGCTTAAAGCCAGGGCTATTATTTCCCATTTGGAGCTTTCTGTTTTTTTCTTAAACTTTTAATAAACATTTAAATTTCATCAGTTTGGATTTCTTTGCTGCCAGTAGTGGATATTTGCTTTAAAAAAAAAAAACCAAAAAGTTATCATTTAATATATCTGCCTTTCTACTTACACTGCATCTTGAGAAGAATTATATTGGCCCATTGGACACGTTTTCTCCCAAGAATTTAAACTGTGAAGTAAGGGATGAAAGGATATGTGCCAGTGTTTGAAGGACCAGGCAGGCCTGTGGCATGTCTTTGCCTGTGATTCCTGTCAATTATTGTATCCTGGTTTTGGTTTTCTAGTTCTCTTTTGAGCGGGTTCTTATACTCTTTCAGGGAAGTTTCTTTTTGCTAATAATGGCCAGTGTCAATCTCCAGTGCTCACAAGCAAGAACCATGCTTTCAGAAGATTGGTATGAGAAGGCCACTGCTATTCTCATGAGACTTGTAGGACCCTTTAACAGTAGAGAAATCACAATTACAACTTCTGTTGTTTGCCCTGTATGTTGCTTCCCTTTGGTAACAGAGACTCATGTTAAATGAAGCCAAAAAGTTACGTTAGAGGCTTTGCTGCCCAATATGGTATTGCTAGTCACAGATGACTCTTGAAACCTAAATTTAAATTAGGATTTTAAAAAATTAAAATTCAGTTTCCTCAGTCACACAAACATGTTGCTAGTGACTATCATATTGGAAGGCACAGATTATAGAATATTTCCACCATCAAAGAAAGCTCTATCAGACGACACTGTTGGAGTATAAACTCCTCAAGGGTAGGCATTCTGTCCTTGTTATTTTCTGATGTATCCACAACACTTAGAATGAGCTCAGCATGTATAGGTACTCAATAAATATTTGCTGAATGTTGAAACAGCATATATTGGCAGACCAAGGAGGTCAGATCACTTGAGGTCGGGAGTTCAAGACCAGCCTGACCAACATAGGGAAACCCCGTCTCTACTAAAAACACAAAAAAGTAGCCAGGCATGGTGGTGGATGCCTGTAATCCCAGCTACTTGGGAGGCTGAGGCAGGAGAATCACTTGAACCCAGGAGGCCGAGGTTGTGGTGAGCCAAGATCACGCTATTGCACTCCAGCCTGGGCAACAAGAGCGAAACTCCATCTCCAAAAAAAAAAAAAAAAAAAAGAAATAGTATATATCAGTGTATCAGCTGCCTGCCACAGAAGACCTAGACCATGATCCTTACAGCTGACTTCCCTGTACTTTGAAGGGAACTTGAAATAGCACCATCTTAATGTTATTCCAAAGTTTCCATTTAAACTCATTCATAACTACATTGTCTATTGTAACTTGGCCCTCCAGTTCACCTACTTTATAATTGCTTTAAAAGTATAAAGTACTTGATCTCATAGTTACTTTCCCCCCCACTTACTCATCCTTCACCTTCTGATTTCTCCCTATCACCTACTCATTAACTCATTAAAACTTTTAACAATTTCCACTGTAGCCTTTGGAATCCCTATTCTGATACCAATAACTTTTTTTGTAATCTCAACATTTTTTTGAATGCCTCTCCCCCTACTGAGAACTGCTTTTTTCTCATAGCATATAACCTGGAACGCCTTTTAAGTAGAAATTACTCTTCCTTCCTGTCTCCTGCAACAAGAGACCAAGAAGAGAAATCAACATTCGTAAACCCCGTTTGTGCTTCCAGTTCATTGTTTGAGTATGGTTAAAGTGATTTTTTTCTTTGATATTTGTTGCATCCAGTTTTATACCTGTCTTTTGTCTCTTCCAGTTAATGACCTACAGTGTATTCCTTAATAGTCACTGAGGACTTTGATATCTGACTCAACTTTTTTCTGTTTTGTTTCTCTTGTCATCATTCTTAGTGACTATGTATTCATAGTGTTGAACTACCCAACACCTTAGCCTTATAGTTTATTCTATCTGCACTCTGGCGTTCTTTTATCTTTATCCTACTTTAGCATCTTGTACACCTAGACACTTCTTGGACCTTATCGTCACCTAGAACTGATCACTTCAAAGATGTAAATATCTTTTCTTTCTCTTATCCATGCTACTCTCACTGAAGATACTGATATTGGTAGTCTTTGGACTTCTCTTTTTCTTCCAGCCTATTATCCTGGCTCCCTTGCTTCCTTTTCAGCTTGGAAACTGATGTTCTTACTTGTACATGAGCAAAGGATATGAATTTTCTCAACTTCTTGCCATCTTAGAATTTCGGTATCTTCATCCATTCTCTCCTCCCTTTCTATTTTGAAAATGTCCTTTCCCCCTTTACTTCTTAAGTGAACAGTGCTTTAAATTCCATATCTCTACTTCCTCTACACTCTTCGTCACCTATATCTTTAATTTCTCTATCTCGGACTCTTATTTTTCCTTCAAGATCTAGTTCAAATTGCATCTCTTTTATATAGCCTTAACTTATCCTCTAATGAAAGTTAATTGCAGTTTTTTTCTGTTCCTTGTATGTCTGTTATAAGGTATATTTTCTTTTGACTTATTGTGACACACCTTGAGTATTCAAAACCTAATAAAAAGAGATACTGTACTCCTAAATTTACAGCACTGTCTTTTGAAACATTATCTGCCTTTTTGAACTTTAATACCATTAGTCTTATTCCTATCTTATTTAAGTTAAGATCCGTTATCCCATAGAATCCTAAATGTAATGATCTTAAATCATGGACTAATTTTCTCCTTAAAAAAAATTAGTTTTAAATTCTAACCCAGTACTGCTTCAACAAAATGAACTGAAGAAGGCCTTGTTGTATATCATCTTCTATAGTCTACCACAATGGTGCTTTTACTTAGTTCATATTTCATTTAGTTTTTCTCCCATCCTTTCATATTTTAATGATTTTTCAGATACTCTTTACCATTGGTTTCTTTGGCTTCAGCTTTTGTATGTAGGGCACTACTGTTTCTCTTCATGTCTGTGTAACTTACGTAGAAAGCATTAGGCCATGACTTTCTTACCTGGGTCAGGTTTCATGTTAATTTACCAATTGTATTCAGATTCTCAACTGGAGCTAGGATATACTTAGGACCTAAGTTTTCTAACAGTGGACCTGAACTGGGACCCACAGTGTTCTCTCTTCCGTTTTCATCTTCATGATTTTGTGGAAAGAAACCTTTACTAAGTCAGTAACCTAAAAACCCCAAGTTAGCCACGCTGCTGAGAGGCTGAGGCAGGAGGATTGCCTGAGCTAAGGAGTTTGAGGCCAGCCTAGGCAATATAGTGAGATCACATCTCTTACTTAAAAAAAAAAAAAAAAAAAAAAAAGAGTGTGACTGGTACTGACAGTGGAGCAAAAGGAAAAGGACTGGCCCTCTTAAGGTTCATCGTTTCTGGCATTTGTATGTAAACGTCTCAGGAAGCAATGAGTCTTATCTTCAGGATTTTTTCATGTTATATTATCCAATCATCTCACACATTTAAACAGCTAATCCATGATTTGGGTTGGTTCATTCAGTCTGCCAACAAATGTTTATTGAGTCCTTATTGTGTTTAAAGCACAGACCTAGGTTCTTGAGAGTGTTGTCCAGATAAACACATTCTACTTGGGCAGATAAGACATGCTAATAATACCAAGCTATAAATAGGTGCCGAGTGCATTGTATTTGAGATAGGCGTTTGGAGAGTTTTGAAAGGGAGGAGGCTGCAGGGCCTATCCTGCCAGACCTAATTAGTGTAATGTCTTCCTCATGAGGTTACTCATTTGGTCACTAGAGCTGCTCTGCATTTTAAGGATCTGGCTGTAGATGTATTATTCCCTTTGAAGAGTCTGCAAATGTTTAAGTATTCATTCATCTCAGGCATGAAAAGCTCCATAAGATATTTTATAGAATACAGGATGGTGTGTTGTATTAGTTTTCTTTTAAATCTGTAGCCTTGTAGAATGAAAGTGAAGTAGCGTGTGTCTGAAAGAATTTTGTAAATTGTAAAATGCTATATGGATGTAAGTTGGCCTCTCCTAAACTAGATTACTTTCTGATGCCTTAGCAACACATTCTATAATTTTCCATGAAAGACCACTTGTTCAGGCTGTTCTTCATGTATATCAGAATCCTACCTGTCAGGTTTTTATCCATGTAGCATTCCCTGGTACCCCTGGACATAGTTGATTTCTCATCCTCTCCATGCCCCTAGTTTGTAGATTTTCCTATCACAACAGCAGTAATTTGTTTTACATTTTTGTTATACGTGAACACAACCTAGTTTCTCAAAGTCTCAATCTTTGGTTGTATTTGTGCTTTTGCACAGTGGTGTCCAACAGGCATTCAATAAAATGACTGTTTAATTCAGTGAAATAAATGAATCATGGATTCTTAATAATGTATTTTGTTGGGTTGTGATTTTTAGGTTAAAACTGCAACAACAAATTGTGACTGTTGAAAATGCAGAGAAGGAAAAAAATGAAAATTCTGACCTAAAACAGGTATGATTTTAGCAAATATTTTCCTTTTATTTTTTCAAGTGCTTCTTTAAATTTGTGTTTTGCAAATTTAAAAAAAGATTTGCAATCAGTATTTTTAGAATCTAACCACAATTGGTAACATATTGTTGGAGGTAATATGTAAAGATAAAATGTTTAAACCTCTATACTTTAATAAGCTTCTTTTGCTAACTGCTATTATTCTTAAGAGAGATATATATATTTTTTTACTTATGCTGTGGCCCATGATAATTTTTTAAATTACAGTTATAAGGGCAGTATTTTAATATTCTGAATTTTAAAAACTCAATAGAAATATCATCCAGGTTTTAAGTTACTTGTGTGATTGACTTGTAATTTTATATCATGAGGTATTTTTGCTATAGCCCTATGAAATCCAAGATTTGTATTTGTGGAAGGAAATTTGTATTTATAATTAAAGTTATTTGGGTTCAGGAAAGATTTGTATAAAGTTGGGTAAAACATGGAGGAGTGATATTTTCTGAATTCTATTTTGTTTTTTGTTGTTTTTTTCCCCTATAAATTATGAAGTAGGAATCCATTTTTAGAATTCATGCTCATATGCTAGTTGGTACTGCTTTTCATGTGCAGTTATGGTTTCTAAGTCTTAACTAGATGGACATAATGTTTGATACCCAGAGAGAAGTTATTTAGTATCATTGGCATTTGGGCTTTCTGTCATGCTATGCATATGGAGAGGTATTAAGCTCTTTGAAGTTTGCTTATTCAAGCAGCTGTAATACAGATATAATATTTGCCACTCCAGTTAAAAATAGTGAATAGTTCTGCATGGAGAAATTCATTCTAAAAGAGAAATCTGAGACATACCATTTAGTTTTATTCTGCTAAAAATTGCTCTGTGGACATTCAGAGTCATATATGAATTGGTTTTGTTACCATTAGGAAGTAATGGGATTATTACCCATTTATTTACTTTATTATATAAGAATCTTGTTTCTTTTTACCCTTGAATCTCATAATAGGTTCTTTTGATCCCTATCTCTTGACTGTCTTTACTCTGAAATGTCTCTCAGAAAATGGCTAAGAGAGATAAAAGGAAGTGAAAGGAAAATAAGAACTTTTATTGTTTATTAATTGGTAAAATCATTTGTGGGGGAGGTATATATAACTGTCCCAAATAAAGATTATTTAGATATAATTTAGAAGAGTGTGAATCTTTCTAGCCTGTTAATCTTTAATTAGACTTCTTTTGAGAAAAAGTACTCCCAGATAAAGGTAAATTGAGATGGAAAAAAAGCTTTGAGTGACAGTATGCAGTTTGGTAAATGGCTGTAGAGGCCAAGGAATCTGTAGCGTTTATTAGATTTCCCAGAGCATCTTTCTTCTGCCCAGCACTGGACATATGAATGGAAACCTTTTAAAAACAATGTGAGAGTGATCCTTCTCATATTTACACTGAACAATTTTGATTGCTTGGAGAGTAGAACTTCTGGAAGGTTGCTGATCTCAGGGTATGTGGGAAGAGGAGGATGGATTTTTTTTTAGCTGCTTTCCCAGCTGACTTGCTTTTAATATCAGTTTTTTTCCGTAGGACGTGAGGGGAAGGCTAGAGTGGTAGGAGACTCACTCTAATCACTGGATTCCCTTTCCTCATCTCACTGCTAATCCCCCTGATAATCTTTCTGTCCATTCCCAACACCTCTCCTGGCCTTCATATTTTGGGAAGAAGAGGGAGGGGACTCAGTGACTGAAGAATATACTTCTTGATAGTCTCTGACTATGATAAGAAATGCTCCTAGGTGCTGCTGTTTGTTATTTCCTTCAGGGGGCATCTTTCAAGGGCACACCAGCTTGAGGGAGTATTTGCAAAGGGAGATGCTTAGTATCTTCTGCTTCTCTCATACCTTACTGCATTTATTTAGTGGCCTTTATCTTCTTTCTTCTCTTTTAAGCAAATCAGTAGTTTGCAGATCCAAGTGACCTCACTTGCACAGTCAGAGAATGACTTGCTGAATTCAAACCAAATGCTGAAGGAAATGGTGGAGAGATTAAAACAAGAATGCCGAAATTTTAGAAGCCAAGCTGAAAAAGCGCAACTAGAAGCTGAAAAGTAGAGTTTGCTCTTTATGTACAAACTATTTTTTCTTTTTTCTATATAACATATAGTTATGTTAGTAATGATTCCAATGTTGATTATATTTTAGAAACTAGTTACAAATACACTTTAATAGTATACAGTGGTATACTGAGGTAATAATGTACTTTATGTTTCTATAGAATGACCTATACTGACTCAAATTCTTTTAAAAAAGGTAAAATTAAGACATATTAAAATTCTGACAGCATAGTATTCTGAAAAACCTTAAAGAAAACTTTTTTTATTCATTGATTAAATGAAAACATTTCTTCAAAAATCTATTCTTCTGAATGCCAGAGAACAGAATGGTTTTGTTTTGTTTTGTTTTGTTTTTGATGTGCAAAACTTAATTCCTTCTAGAACTAGTCTCTTGGATTTTCTTTGAAAAGCTAATTTATTTGTTTATTTTTTTTTGGTCTTAAAATTTGTTACTAGTAGATAGTATGGAGTAAAACTGGTAGGGATAAAATTATTGTGGTGATGTTCAAGATCTTATACCTTCTGGAAACATTTGTTTAGATGTGGTAGAATACTGTACTATTTTGTATTTGCTTTGTCTTTATGTTTGCCTTATAAGTAAGTTTTTATTTTAATCTACAAAACATAATTCTTCTCAAATTTCTTCTTCTGAAGGCCACCATGCCACATAAAACTGTGTTTCTTCAGTTTTTCTATTATTACATATTTTAAGGTTTGTCCATGCTTTTATATATGGGGTTGAATTTCAAGAAAAGGAAGGAAGCAAGATAAATATCCATAGCATGTTGTGACATTTCAGATGATCCAACTTATTTTTCTTTTATTTTGTAAAAACCAAAAACATGTGCTTGGATTTCTCAAGTGTTTGATTGAAACGAGCTTAATAATTCTATGACAGTGTAGCTAGCAAATTTAAGTAATCAATCATTGGTTTCTAAATAATATTCATAGAATTGTATATAAGAAAATAGCTGTACTAAGGGTCAATGGAATGTGATTTTAGTTCCAGCTAAGATACTTAAAATCTTGTATGACCTTAGGCAAGTAATCTACCTTCTCAGGGTTTGTTATTTTCATTTGTACTGCCTATAGTAGGAATACTAAAAAAATCATATAAAGTATGCAGAATAGCTTTAAAAATATAAGTTGTTATGATGTTATTTTATCATTTATATGCATTTTACTCTAGTCAGAAGACATACTGCATTAAGATTTGATACCAGGCTTGATTTTCTTAAACCAAATTTATGAGGACAGATATTTGTAGTTTGATGGTTATTATACTTCACACCTGTTATCAAGTGTTTGTCTTGCCATTAACTAGATGTGAGCCGTTAAGTTAGCTAACTGCTCTAATCCTCGGTTTCCTCATTTGTAAAATGGACAGAGGTATAAAGGTGACAGAAACACCTAACTTGGGATTTTTGTAAAGAACAGATGATACAATACACATAGTGTTCTAAGTCCAGTGCCTTATTCACAGGAAGTGCTCAGTAATGGTGGGATTTGCAAACAAGTGGCCACACAGGAGGGCCTGCAGTTGGATAATTAAAAATGTGGTCAGGCAAGTAGTGAGTTTGCTTATACTTGTGATATTTAATCCTATTTAATCCTAAGAACTTATTTAGCTTCCATGTTTTACATACATTCTTCTGATAGGACATTGGAAGAGAAACAGATACAGTGGTTGGAAGAAAAGCACAAGCTTCATGAGCGTATCACAGAGAGAGAAGAAAAGTGTAATCAAGCTAAGGAGAAACTTCAGCGAGCTGCAATTGCCCAGAAAAAGGCAAGTGGTTCTTATTAAAGTGATTTCTGGCCGGGCACGGTGGTTCACACCTGTAAGCCCAACACTTTGGGAGGCAGAGGCGGACGGATCACGAGGTCAGGAGATTGAGACCATCCTGGCTAACGTGGTGAAACCCTATCTCTCTAAAAAAATACAAAAAAATTAGCCAGATGTAGTGGCGAGCACCTGTAGCCCCAGCTACTCTGGAGGCTGAGGCAGGACAATGGCATGAACCTGGGAGGCGTAGCTTACAGTGAGTCAAAATTGTGCCACTGCACTCCAACCTGGGTGACAGAGCAAGACCCTGTCTCAAAAAAATAAAAAGTGATTTCTGTGGAGTAAAATATAATTAAATCCCTTTTTTCTTTTTCTTTTTTTTTTTTTTTTTTGAAGAGTCTGACTCCATGGCCCAGGCTGGATTGCAGTGGTGCGATCTTGCCTCACTGCAACCTCCATCCCCTGGATTCAAGCGATTCTCATACCTCAGCCTTCGCATAGCTGGGATTATAGGCACGTGCCACCATGCCCAGCTAATTTTTGTATTTTTAGTAGAGATAGGGTTTCCCATGTTTGCCAGGCTGGTCTCAAACTCCTGACCTCTAGTGGTCCTCCCACCTCAGCCTCCCAAAGTGCTGGGATTATAGGCATGAGCCACCACATCCATCCTAATAAACTCTTATAGGAGAATAAATATATAGTTGAATCTGAGATTTTAGTGATATGTTTAATTTAATATATAAGCATGACATTTTGCTGTCAACCTTGCAGAAATACATTGGGAAAATCCAGACTGCCCAGCAGGTTTGTTTCTAAATTTTGTGTGTAAGTCAATTGTTTTGAGTTGACATGCATTTTTCCACACAGAAGGTGTTTTTCAGAGTGATAGTTTCCAGGCCAACCCATGGAAGTCATATTGTACACATTCTCCAGTTAAGTTATAGTGTGATTAAGATTGTTTCATTTATGCCTAATATCTATTTTATTACTTTTGTGGTTAAAAGGCTTTTTTGTTTCCAATACAGAAATACAAGAGCAAGTATTTCTTTGCTCCAGCAGGAGGAACTGGGACTCCCTTGGCTTCTGAAACCGCCACAGTAGTTCCCACAGCATTGATCCTTTTTAAGTTTTACCTTTGCAGGCATACTTTTCTCCAGAACCTAACTTTGTTTTCTTGGAAACAGTCCAGGCCATCATGGAAATAATGCATCTAGATGGATCTTCTAAGTCAGTGGCTTACAACTTTTTTCTATTTCTGCAAACCCAAGGAATGTAACAGGTCCCATTAGTAACCATGACTCATGGCAATGATTAAGGGAGGAGAAGGACATGGTAATCTTTTCAACAGGATTAGAAGAAGAGGAGGGACATGATAAAGTGTGTGTGTGTGCGTGTGTGTGTGTTATATGTAAAGTCCCAGAAATGATTTGAGTTGTCTCCATTTGATAAATTCCCTTAATAGTAGCATTTGTTGTGGAGAGAAGATCTGAGATGAGAGGAAAATACTTCTAGATGCAGTAACCATTATCTTAATATCTGTTTGTTTATTGGAAAGGTTAACTGTTCATATTTAGGTAAGAGAAAATAACTCTAGATCCTTCACTTATTCTGAATTTGAAAAATCACACATCAGTTCCTAGATCCCTTTTTATGTAATTGGATATCACTGCCAAATGTTGCTGACAGTTGGAGTGACAACATAAGAAGTCATTACTTCTCTACTTTCTTGGTCTCTGAATATTACTTTTATCTTCTCATACTAGAAGTAGTAGTATTAGAAAAACAGCATTTATTATATAGGGATCCCAGTGTTTTATACCCAAATATGCACACTTGTTTGCTTTTCTGTATATGTCACTTTTTTTACTTTCTGTCGATGTAGGTACTGAAAAGTGTATGGATATTAATGGGATTTCAGAGGATTGTTTTATGACCTATGATCTCAGAAATCCTGCTGATTTTTGTTTGCACTGTGTTTGAAGCCTAGAAACATCTGAAGCCATGTTACAGCAAGAAATTGTAAGAGCTAAATTTTGAGACTTTAGGGATAAGTATCTTACAGATCAAATTCTAATTATTGAGGTTAGTTTGGGTTGAATTCTTTTGAAGCAAAAGTGACACCCAGTGGTGAGATTATCAACTAATCATAAGTATACCAGAAGGAGGGGAGGAGGTGATATTTTTAAAAATCTACAAAATATAGCCAGACCCCATCTCTACAAAAAATGAAAAAACTGTGCATGGTGGCACGTGTCTATAGTCCCAGCTATTTGGAAGGCTGAGGTGGGAGGATCACATGAGCCCAGGAGTTCAAGATTGCAAAGAGCTGTGATGGCACCAGCCCTCCAGCCTGGATGACACAGCAAGACCCTATCTCAGAAAAAAAAAAAAAAAAAAATTAAACTCAAAAACACTACAAAGTAACATTTCATTAGTATTGCAACAGGATGAATTTTTTTTTCTACTGAAATGTCTGCCAGATGATGAGTGTGAAGATAGTAAATAGTCATTTTACTTTTTAAAATGTGATCTGTGGATTGCGATTTAAGTCGTAGTGAAATTGTTAAGGTCAATTCAGTGAATGATTATGACCTAGAGTTGTCATACTACGTGGGGCACTGCCCTAGGAGCTTACAAGTTTACATCAATTAAAATAGAAAAACATCATGTGTAACTTAGAAATACAATTAAAAAGTATATAACTGTATATAATTTTAGGACTGGAAGGGATCTTAGCATTCAGATAGCTTTTACAAGTTAGCAAACTAAGAGAGGAGGTACCCAAGATTACTTAACAAGTAAGAATCAAAAGTTAACTAAAATCTACATGTTTCTGTTCTCAGTCTGGTGCTCTTTCCATTGCTCTGTTAGGCTTTAATTTCCTACTTTCTTTGATTCCAAATACTTTACAGTTTTTCGCTTAATATAGCTATGGTCCATATGAGTTGTTTCTTATGTCAGAATAATCACTGTAAATTAATTTAACTCATATCCTTTTCCCATTCAAGTTAAAGATAATGCTTCTATTTGACAATTTTAGCTATCAGATTACATAAATATAATTCATAAGAGTGCAACAGACTTTTTAGGTTCTTTAATGCCAAAAGTCGTAACATTTTTTGCCGTAAGACTTAACAAAAGTCACAAATTATGATACCCAGGGCAGAAATAATCCTTTAGAGTTGCTTTCCTGTGAAAAGTTCTTTTTTCCCTCAGGCTGGATAAGATGGCTCACTGCCATCTGTGTTTACTCAGAGCTCCAAGCTCCTAAGCACAGAGATTGTCATTTCTGCTGTTTTTAAGTAGTCTTTGGTGTAAATGATGTTTTGTTGTGTTGATTTGTTTGGAAAAGTTTGACCAGGATCTTGAGTTGGGGTGCCCTTCTATGATTGATACATACAGAGAGAATGTATTCCCCCTATCCCCACTGAAGAGAGATCTCTTGAAGCGAGCACAGTGAGTTGGGTTTTTCTTTTTTCTTGAGGAACCTGGAATGACGACTTGTTATTTTTATTCTAAGGTATATGTCTCTGAAATGCTTCTTGGTCAGATACTATTATGGATGTTTTCAAAGAAGAGATGAATCATAGTCTTGAAGTTGCAAAATATCTGATTGAATATGTTGTGTGGCCTAGATTATGCTATACATTGGGGGGAAATAGAAGCCGTGATTATTCCTTGGTTTTGATAACTATATAATCTTGTTGGAGAAATAAGATAACATGCAAGAAACACTTAAATAATCCCACTAGTCACTCCTGGGTGATTTATGCGGACTCTAAAATTTGGGAACCACTGTGCTAGATCGAAAAAAATCTGAAGACAAGGAGACCAGTTAGGAAGATGCTATAGTAAACTTAAAGTGAGGTAAGAAGTCTAAAATTGGGACTTGGAATATAGGAATGAAGGTGAAAGGTGACTGCCAGAGGTATTCCAAAGGAAAAAATAATTGCAGAATATATTGGTAAATAAGAAAGAAAACTATGAAGTATTTTAGCTGTGAGAAGACATAAGTGGAGTTACTATAATGGATTGAAGAACGTCAGTTGAGTAGAAAGATATGAAACATATGTCAGATAGGAAATGATGGCAGTGCGTCCATGTAGACATGATGTAGAGTCTTAAGTAAAGATATTATATAGGTAACTAGAAATAATAGAATGTGAATTTCAGAGATGAATAAATCAAATTAGAGAAATAGAAACTCAAGATTTTTTAGATCGCCGAAGAATACTAAATTTACTTAGAACGAGGAGCTAGGTGTGGTGGTGAACAGAGGTAGAAGCTATATTGTGATGTTATGGGAACCAAAGGTAAAGAAAGGTATCAAAGATAAATGGTCATTAACATAATCATTGATAAAAAGTTAATTGGATTTGACTAGAAGGTGGTAAAAGGGGAATCCCAGCCTTAATTCTTACACCTATATTCTTTTAATTGTTCTATTAGTCCTTTGTGTCATAATGTTTATAACACTAAGGCATCCATTTGACTATCCTGTAATTGTATTGGACCACTCAAGTAAAAATTAGAATCATTCCTTTCCACTAATTTTCCCTCTGGACTTTCCATTTCTTTCAGTAGAAGTTATTCTTGCAGTCACTTAGGCTTCAAACCTGTGATTCATCCTGAGGTCTGCCTTATCTCCAAATTTAGTCAGGCACTATATTAGTTTCCTAGGGCTGCTGTGACAAATTACCACAAACCTTGTGGCTTAAAACAACAGAAGCTTATTCTCTCACAGTTCTGGAGCCTAGAAATCTACAGTCAGAGTGCCAGCAGAAGCATTCTTCTTCAAAAGGCTCTGGAGGAGGATCTTTTTTCATGCCCCTTGTCTAGCTTCTGGTAGTTGCTGGTAATCCTTGGGGTTCCTTGGGTTTTAGATGGACACATCTCTCCAGTCTCTGCCTTGTCTTTACATGATGGTCTCCCTGTGTACCTATAGCTCTGTGTCCAGATTTCACTCCTCTTATGTAAGTACACCAGCCATAGTGGATTTAGGGCCCACTGTAATCCAATCTAACTTCATCTTAACTTGATTACATTTGTAGACCCTATTTCCAAATAAGATTACTCTAGGGTCTTTTCCAATACCAGCGATCATTTCTCTGTTCTCTGGATACCAACCAGGTGTCCAGAAATTCAATTCTGAAACTATCTACGTGGAGTTAGAGTCAGATCCCACAAGTTAAAGGGCTCAGTCCCACAAGACTGCCCCAACTGCAGACACCAGCTGCAAGTCTGAGTCACCTATATTCTGACTGACTAACTTAGGGATTCCCACGACCCCCTCCTTCAGTTTAATAGTTTGCTAGAATGGCTCACAAAATTCAGGAAAACACTATATTTACCAGTTTATTGTAAAGGATAAAAGTCAGGAATAGCCAAATAGGAGAAATGCATTGGGCAAGGTGTTAGGGGTCGGGGTGTAGAGCCTCCATGCCCTCTCTGTGTGAGCCACCCTCCCAGCAAGTCAATGTGGTCACCAGCCTGGAAGCTCTCAAAATCTCATTGTTGAAGAGTTTTTGTAGAGCACAATCTCCAGCCCCCACCCCTTCATATGGGTCAGGGGAGTGAACCTGAAAGCATTCACCATCTAATCACTTGGTCTTTCTGGTGACCAGCCCCCATCCTTAGGCTGTCTAGGGGCCTCAACTTTAAGTTACCTCATTAACATCAACTCAGGTATGATTGAAAGGGACTTGTTATGAATTATACAAAAACACTCCTATCACTTACAGATTCCACAGTTCTTAGCAGCTCTGTACCAGGAATTGGGGACAAAGACCAAATATATTTCTTATTATACCACAGTCACATTCTAAGGTTCTGGGTGCCCATGAATTTTTGGGAGACACTATTCAACCTAAAATGAGAACTCATAAAGCCTATGAATTCTTCCTTTATGATGCCTCTCAAATTTTCCCCCACCCCATTTATTTTCATTCCTGTTACTAACAGCCTTGGTCAGACTGTCTTCCCTACAAGGTTTATCTGTATTCATTTATCCAAGTTACTCAATAGATCTGTTAAGCATCTATTATGTATCAGGTACTTACTCATTCACTGGAATACAGAAGTAAACAAAGACCCTGCACCGAGGCATTTACATTGTAGTTGGTTAGGAGACATAGAATAAAGAAAGAAATACTATCAGGTGGAGGTGAGTACTAAGAGGAAAATTGACAGGAGTAGGCGGGGCGTGGTGGCTCACACCTGTAATCCCAGCACTTTGGGAGGCCAAGGTGGATGGATCACCTGAGGTCAGAAGTTTGAGACCAGCCTGGCCAACATGGGGAAACCCCATCTCTACTAAAACTACAAAAATTAGCCAGGCATGGTGGCAGGCGCCTGTAATCCCAGTTACTCAGGGGGCTAAGGCAGGGAGAATTGCTTGAACTCTGGAGGCAGAGGTTGCAGTGAGCTGAGATGGTGGCAGTGCATTCTAGCCTGGGCAATCGAGGAAGACTCCATGTCAAAAAAAAAAAAGGAAAATTGACAGGAGTAGGGGGTGCTGTTTTATGTAGGTGGTCAGGCAAGGCTTCTCTGGTAAGGTAACATATGAGCAGAGACTGAAGGAAAGGAGGGAGGATGCCACATTGTTATATGTAAGGTAAGGGTGTTCCAGACAGAGGGAATAGCAAGTACAAGAGAGGCAGGAATCTGCTTGGTATGTTGAAGGAACACAGGAGGCCCAGGAAGCTAGAATAGAGAGAGGTATAGTAGGAGGCCAAATTATGCCATGACTTCAGCTTTTATTCTCAGTTAAGGTAGGAACACACTGGAGGTTTTTGAATTGAGAAATGATATCTGAATTACATTTTTGACAAATCTCCGGCTGTTGTGTAGAGGGGCAGAAGAGGAGTCAGGGAAACCACGTTTTCGTAGTCCAGGTTACAGATCAGCACTAAAAAGGATGAGTTTAGAGCTAAAAAAACACAGTAACAATACTTAACTCAATGGATAGATTTAATAGCAGACAATGTCACCATCATCAAGAGACGAGCAGAAATCAGTGACAGAGACAGAAGATGTACAGTGAGGAAAATAGAAATGCCAAGAGTTGGTTTTAAAAAGATTATGAAATTGATAAAACGTTGGAAAGACTGATTGTCCTCAGACTCCCCACAAAATAGATGAGATGAGATTTAGAGCCACAAATGAACAATATAGTGAATGAAAAAAGTGATATCTACCTATAGATATTAACTATCTGCATATAGATATTAAAACAAAAGGAATGGTATAAAAACTGTTATGCTAATTAATCATGCAATTTAGAATAAATGAATACATTTCTTTAAGAACATCTTAAAGCTAATACAAGAAGAATTAGGTCATTTGGATAGTCCTGTATCTATTAAAGAAATGAAATCTTCAGTTAAAAACCTTCCACAAAGAAATGCCTCATTTGGCTTCACTGGTAAATTATTCCAAATACTTAAGGAAGAATTAATAATAATCTTAACACAAACTCTTCCAGATAATAGAAAAGGAGGAAACACATCTCCACTTACAAGGTTAGAACCTGATACAATCAATATAAGAAAAGAAAAATTGCATTATAAACATAGATATAAAAATCTTAAATATTAGCAAACTGAATTTAGTGATACAGAAAAATGATAATATATCATGAGCATTTAGGTTTTATTCTAGGAATATAGGTGGCTTAACGTGCAAAATTGTTCAGTGTAATTCAACACCCTAACAGAACAAAGAAGGAAAACTATTGTGATCCTCTTAAGAGACACAGAAACATAATTTGGCAACATTCAGCACCCATTCATGATAAAAACTTTTGCCAAACTAGGAACAGAAGGGAATTTTCAATCTTATAAGTGGTATCTACAAAAATTCTGCAGCTAACATCATACTTACTGATTAAAAATATTGACTGCTTCCCCTTACTTACCCAAGGTCAGGAACAGATGTCTACTATCACCATTTTGTTTAATATTTTATCGGAGGTTCTAGCTGGTATAATAAGGCAAGAAACAAGATGGCCAACTAGAAGCAGCTAGTGTGTGACATTTTCATGGAGAGAAATAGAAGGAGTAAGTAAATACAGCACCTTCAACTGAAGCATCCAGGTACACGCATTGGGATTCATCAAGAAAACAACTTGACCTAGAAAGAATGGAGAAAAGCAAGCAGGACAATCACTCACTTGGGAGTGACACAGAGCCGGGGAGCCTCCTCTTCCCAGGGAAGTGGTGAGTGAGTGAGTGACCCCAGTGACCCACACTTCTCCTTGGATCTTTGCAACCCATGGATCAAGAAATCCCCTTGTGAGCCCACTCCACCAGGGTCTATAGGCTGATACACAGAATTACGTGGAGTCTCAGCAATGCAGCCGCTCAGATACACATAGAGCCCTGGGAGCTTTAGATACCCAGGTTTCCCATCAAAATCAACTGCAACTCCAGCCAAGCGGGATGTTAGACCCCTGTACATACCCCTAGGAAAGAGGCTGAATCCAAGGGATACAGCAGTGATAGTCTGCAGGCTCCACTACCATGGCACCTTGCAGGATAAGACCCACTGGCTTGGAACTCTAGCCAGCCACTGGTAGCAGTGTTACACCTCTCTGAGAAGGACCTCCTAGAGGGAGGGATGGGCTGCCATCTTTGCTGTTTTGTAGCCTTAGCTATTGTTGCCTTCAGTGCAGCCACCCGATGGAAAAGCGCCCAGACTGCTTTTTTATGCAGGTCCTGGACCCTGCTTCTCAATGAGTGGGGGACCTCCCGACCAGGGTCACTAGTCACTCTTGTTGTTTTCCACCTGGCAGTGGTTCCAAGCCTCCCTGGGACAGAGTTCCCAGGGGGAGGGATCGGCTGTCATCTTTGATGTTTCACATTCTTAGCCGTTGTTGCCTTTGGGCTCTAGGGAGTCTGAGATGGTTAGGGACTGGAGTGGTCCCCTGGTGCACAGCTCTAAGGAGAAGTGGCCAGGCTGCTTTCTCATATGGCTCCTGGATCTCATTTCTCCTCACTGGGTGGAATCTCCCGACAGGTCTACAACCATACCTCCACTAGTGTTTTCTGGCCAGCAGCAATTTCAAACCTCCCTGGAATGGATCTCCCAGAGAGAGGGATGGGCTGCCAGCTTTGCTGTTTTGCAGCTTTAGCTCTTTGCCTTTGGGATCTGGAGAGTCCAAAGCAACTCTCGAGGAGACCCCGATCACAGCACAACTGCTCTGTGAAAAAGTGGCCAGACTGCTTTTTCACATGAGTCCCTAATCCCATTCCTCCTCAGTGGACAGGGCCTTTTGACCAGGGTTTCCAGCCATGTGCACCAGTGTTTTTTGACTGGCAGCAGTTTCAAACCTCCCTGGAACAGAGCACCCAAAGAGAGGGGTGGGCCACCACTTCTGCTGTTTAGCAACCTTAGCTGTTGTCTTCAGGCTTTAGAGAGTCTGAGGTGACTAGGGGCTGGAGTGGACCCCTAGCAAAGCATGGCTGCCCTATGGAAAAAGCCAGATGGCTTTTTTATGTGGGTCCCTGATTCTGTTACTCCTCACTAGGTGGGATCTCCCAACCAAAGTCTCCAGCCACCTCCTGTTAGCGTGTTCTGCCAGCAACAGGTCTGTGCCTCCCTGGGACAGAGCTCCCAGAGAGAAGGGCAGTCCTCCATCTTTGCTGTTTCACAGACTTCCTTGTTGATATCTTCAGGTACTGGAAAATTCAAGATGAAAAGGGATTGGAGTGGACCCGCAGCATACTGTATGTAGCAGCCCTATGGAAAAGTGGCCAGACTGTTATGTGGGCCCCTGATTCTGTATCTCATCACTGAGCAGGTCCTTCCAACATGGATCTCCAGCCATCCCCACCAGGGCCATCAAGCCAGTAGCAGCTCTGTTACTATCTGGGACAGAGCTCCTAGTGGGAGGGATGGGTTGCCATCTTTGCTGTCTTGTAACCCTCACCCTTACTGTCTCCAGGCTCTGGAGAGTCTGCAGGGACCATGGGCTGGTACGGATGCCCAACACAAAACACCCACCTCAGAAAAGTTGCCAGACTGTTCTCCATGCAAGTCCCAGTCCTCACTTGTCCTCCTTGGGCAGGGTCATCCAACCTGGAACTCTAGCATAACTACCCTGACCTTGGCTGACCACTTCAATCAGAGGCAGCCCAGCAGTTAAAGGAACGCCCCCAAGCAGAGATGGAACCATCAAACAGAAGAAATCAACTGAAGAACTCTAGCAACTCAGATGGTCAGAGTGTCAACTCACATGGCCACTAGTTCTCCAACAAGGGTTCTTAACCAGGCTGAGTTGGCTGAAGTGACACAAATAGAATTCGGAATATGGATAGGCATGAAGATCATCAAGATTCAGGAGAATGGCAAAACCCAATCCAAGGAAACTAAGAATCACAATAAAATGATACAGGCACTGACATATGAAATAGCCAGTATAAAAAAGAACCTAACTGATCTGATAGAGCTGAAAAACACACTATAAGAATGTCACAATGCAATCACAAGTATTAACAGCAGGAGAGAGCAAGCTGAATAATCTCAGAACTTGAATACTGGCTCTTTGGAATAAGACAAACAAAAATAAAAAAGAATCGAAAAGAATGAACAAAACCTCCAAGAAATATGAGATTATGTAAAGAGGCCAAATCTACAAATCATTGGCATCCCTGAAAGGGTTGGGGAGAAAGCAAACAACTTAGAAAACACATTTCAGGGTATTGTCCAAGAAAACTTCCAACAGGAACTATAGAGAACAAGATTCTACACAGGAAGATAATCCCTAAGACACATAATCATCAGATTTTCCAAGATCAAAATGAAAGAATATTAAAGGTGCTTGGAGAGAAAGGGCAGGTCACCTACAAAGGAAACCCCATCAGGCTAACAGCTGACCTCTCAGCAGGAACCCTTCAAGCCAGAAGAGACTGGGGACCTGTAATCAACATTCTTAAGAAAATCTTCAACAAAGAATTTCATATCCAGCCAAACCTTCCTCAACAAAGGAGAAATAAGATCCTTTTTAGATAAGCAAATGCTGAGAGAGTTTTAGATAAGCAAATGCTTGTAAAAGGGAGACCCATCTTACAAGAGATCTTGACAGGAACACTAAATATGGAAAGATGGTTACCATGATTCTGCTGAGAGAGAGCATAAAAAAAAAAAGATAGTTACCAGCCAATACAAAAACACACTTAAATACACAGATTAGCCACACTATAAAGCAACCACACAAACAAGCCAGCCTAATAACCTGCTAACAACACAATGACAGGATCAAATCCACACATATTAATACTGACCTTGAATATAAATGGGCCAAGTGCCCCCATTTAAAAGGCACAGAATGGTAAGCTGGATGAAAAAGCAAGACCCAATGATATGCTGTCTTCAAGAAACCTGTCTCATATGTGATGACACCCATAGGCTCAAAATGGGTGGAGGAACGTCTGCCAAGCAAATGGAAATCAGAAAAATGCGGGGGTTGCAATCCTAATTTCAGACAAAACAGATTTTAAACCAACAAAAATCAAAAAAGACAAGGGATTACATGGTGGTAAAGGGTTCAATTCAATAAGAAAACCTAACTATCCTAAATATATATGCACCCAACATAGGAGCACCCAGATTTATAAAGCAAGTTCTTAGAGACCTACAAAGAGACTTACACTCCCACAAAATAATAGTGGGAGACTTTCACATTCCACTGACAGTATTAAATCATCAAAGAAGAAAATTAGCAAAGATATTCAGGACCTGAACTTAACATTGGACCAAATGGATCTGATAGACCTCTACAGAACTCTTTATCCAGAAACAACAGAATATACATTTTTCTCATTGCTGCATGGCACATACTCTGAAATTGACCACACAATCAGACATAAAACAATCCTCAGCAACTGCAAAATAACTGAAATACCAAACACACAGCACAATAAAAGTTGAAATCAAGACTAAAAATATAGTTGCTCAAAACCATGCAATTACATGGAAGTTAACCTGCTCCTGAATGACTTTTGAGTAAATAATGAAATTAAGGCAGATATCAAGAAGTTATTTGAAACTAAGAGAACAAAGATACAACATACCAGAATCTCTGGGACACAGCTAAGGTAATGTTATGAAGGAAATATATAGCACCAAATGCCCACATCAAAGAGTTAAAAAGATCTCAAATTAACAACCAAGCAGCACAACTAAAAGAATTAGAGGACCAAGAGAAAACCAACCCAAAGCTAGCATTAGAGCTGGACAGAAGGAGATCAAAACATGAACAGCCATTCAAAAGATTAACTAATACAGGAGTTGCATTTTTGGGAAAATTTGTAGGCCATTAGATAGACTAATGAAGAAGAACGAGAAGAGCCAAATAAACACAATTAGAAATGACAGAGAGGATGTTACCACTGACCCCACAGAAATACAACCAACCATCACAGACAACTATGAACACCTTTCTGCATACAAACTAACAAAGCTAGAAGAGATAGATAAATTTCTGGACACATACACCTTCCCAAGACAGAACCAGGAAGAAGTTGATACCCTGTACAGACCAATAATGAGTTCTGAAATTGAGGCAGTAGTAAATATCTGCCAACCAAAGAAAGCCTAGGACCAGATGGATTTACAGCCAAATTCTACCAAATGTTGAAAGAAGAGCTGGTACTGTTTCTACATAAACTATTACAAAAAATAGAGGAGCAGGAAATCCTTCCCAAATCATTCTGTGAAGCCAGCATTGTCCTGATAACAAAACCTGGCAGAGACACAACAATGAAAACTTTAGGCCAATATCTTTAATGATCATTGATGCAGAAATCCTCAACAAAATACTTGCAAACTGAATCCAGTAGCACATCAAAAACCTAATCTACCATGATCATGTAGGTTTTATCTCTGGGATTGCAAAGGTTGGTTCAACATGTGCAAATCAATAAATGTGATTCATCACATAAACAGGACTAAAGACAAAAACCACATGTTTATCTCAATAGATGTAGAAAAGGCTTTTGACAAAAATCAACATCCCTTTATATTAAAAACTCAATAAACTAAGTATTGAAGGAATATACTACAAAATGTAAGAACCATCTGTGGCAGACCCACAGCCAACATCATACTGAATGGGCAAATTATGGAAGCATTC